CGTCATACATTAAGACAAGCATCTCAATAATTCAAAAAATAGTATTTAGTCAAATGTAATTGAAAATTGTTATAATATGCCTTATTGATTTAATTAAATTAAATAGAAATTGAAAATATGTTTTTAAATTTAGTAATTATAATTAATTTTATGTTTAACTTAAAAAGAATTAAGAAAAAATGCAAAAAAATTTAATAGCCATATGTGGGTGGAGCCTTGTACCCCAAGCGCATGAAACACAAGTTTGACCGACTCGGCAATCGTACGTCGCTAACATCAAGGAAAAAAGTGGCTATTTAAGCTAGTTCAAATATCAAAATTATTTTTCTCGACTTCAAAAAGCAAAAAAATTTAAGAAGTTTAACTTTCTATGCTATATCAATTTTTTATTTATATAATATTTATGAAAATCTGTACTCCCCTTGTCAGGTATTTTAAAATAAAATAAAATACAAAACCTAGAATTATAACAAAAAAAATAGCATATTTTTGAATACAGTAGTCATTTTTAACATGAAGACAAATCCAGGGGTAAAATTTTTTTTTTCAAATTAAAGTATATTATATAAGCTTTAATTTAATATATATATATATAAATTTCAATATTTCCGGAGTACTTTCAAAAATTAAATTGAAAATGTCCTAGTTTCATTTACGCATGTTTAAAGTTTTGACCCCCCTTGTATAAAGGGGTATGATCCGTGTTACAAAAAAAGTGTATTAGATGAAAGGGGTATATAAAAATTATTTATAAAAATATTGATCCATACATTTGTCCAAAAGTTATAGCAATATAAATTTAATAATATAACATATAAAATCGAGAATTTTTTCACGAAAATCGTACGTTTTTCTTTAACTTTGATGTCTGTTTTCACCACGAAGACAAATCCAGAGGTCAAATTTTTTTTTCAAATTAAAGTATATTACATAAGCTTTAATTTAATATATATATATATATAATAGTGTCAGTCTTTCCGGAACATTTTCAAAAGTTAAGTTGAAAAATTTCTACTTTTTATACGCATTTTAAAAGGTTTCCACCCCCCCTGTATAAAGGGAAATGGTCCGATTTAAAAAAAAAGTATGTTGAATGAAATAAGTATATATAAAGTATTAATCATTAAAGAATAAAGTTGATTCATGCATTTTTAAAAAAGTTATAGCAACATAATGTTAAAAAATGTAAAATATAATATCAAGAATTTTTTCACAAAAATAGCATATTTTTGCATACGGTAGTCATTTTCACCATGAAGACAAGTCCAGAGGTCAAATTTTTTTTTTTCAAATTAAAGTATATTACATAAGCTTTAATTTAAGATATATATAAAAGTGTCAGTCTTTCCGGAACATTTTCAAAAGTTAAGTTGAAAAAGTTCTACTTTCTATACGCATTTTAAAAGGTTTGCACCCCCCCTGTATAAAGGGAAATGGTCCGATTTTAAAAAAAAGTATGTCGAATGAAAGAAGTATATATAAAGTATTTATCATTAAAGAATAAAGTTGATTCATGCATTTTTTAAAAAGTTATAGCAACATAATGTTAAAAAATGTAAAATATAATATCAAGAATTTTTTCACAAAAATAGCATATTTTTGCATACGGTAGTCATTTTCACCATGAAGACAAGTCCAGAGGTCAAATTTTTTTTTTTCAAATTAAAGTATATTACATTAGCTTTAATTTAAGGTATATATAAAATTGTCAGTCTTTCCGGAACATTTTCAAAAGTTAAGTTGAAAAAGTTAATTTTTTGTAAAAAAGTTACCATTTTGAAACCCCATCCTTTGGGCTGTTAAAGGGTCAAATGTTCACAAAAATATATAAAATGATAGGTAAATATCTAAGGTATCTATAAAAAAAAAAATTATATTGATTCGGTCATTTTTAAAAAAGTTATGGCAATTTTAAGTAAAAAAAATTGAAAAAATATCGAAAATTAGCGATTTTTAAATTTGTAATTTTTTGGGGGATTTCCCCCGTTTACGGGGAACGAGGGATTTTTTTTCAAATTTTGAGGGTAATGTCTTCTACTAGATACGATTTGTGATCTTTTGACATATTGTTCATCAAAATCGGTCCAGCGAGAGCTGAGATTGAGCGTTTATAGACACAAAAAAAAAAAACAAATCATAGTAAAATTAATACCTTCTCAGCTTCGCGTCGAAGGTAAAAAATGATAGTTAAGAATAATATGCAAATCTGTAGATAGTGTTTAATTTTATGAAATTGATGGATAATTACAAAATCTACATCAACTTCTATTTCCTTAATTAAGCCCAGATTAGTAATTCTTTTATTTATATATTATATAATTTTTATAGTTAATTGTTCTCAAATTATTATTGATTTTGATTTTTAATATGTTAAAAGTAATCATTTTTAACCTATTTGTTTTGTCCTTTAAAGTGAAAGTTTTAATAAAAAAAAAATTAATTTATTATCATAACTTTTATCTAAACTTGCAAGTTTGAAATTGTAATCATTAAATAGAAAAAAAATTGTATAGTTAAGAATAATATGCATTCAGGAAATTTTATGATTACTAATTACAGTAAATTTTTCATTTCATCCATTGTTAAATTCAGGTGAAACTAAAAATAATTTTTTTTTTTAATTTATGATTTATATGGCAACATGTTACAAAAAAATTTGGAATATTATTGACTGGTATTAGTACACACAAATAGAGTTAAAAAATTAATAAATTACAATATAAAATTATTTACTTTTGCAGTTGAATATTTTCATCATCTTAAACCTAATTCGACAATAAATAATTAAAAAATATAAATGAATAATTTCAATAATTAATTGTTGTTTATTAAGTAAGTAGCTGGTTAAGCTACTTTTTATTTGATTAAGGGATTTTATTTTCAATATTTAATGATAATATCTTACACTAAATACGAATTGTAAGTATTTGACGTATCGTTGTAATAAGGAAATTAAGTGAATGTTGGAAAAATAAATCGCGGCCACAAAAAAAAACACATAGTAAAATAATATTAACATGAATAAGAAATTTCTTCTTACGCGGGGAGACTATAGTGATGGGATCCTTGATATTTAATGAAGTTATTGAATCTAAATGAGATAAAAATCAAATGATTCGAAAATTTTTTTCTAACTAAAAGAAATTCAAAATATTAATTGCCACAGGCATATTCGAACCTCGTACCCTAAGCGTGTAAAACACAAGAGTTACCGATTCAGCAACTGTTCGTCGCTTTTGTACCATGTTAAAATTAGCAATTTAAGCTAATTCAAATAAAAAAATTACTTTTTAGACTTTTTTAAAATTTTTAAAATTTTAAGTTTAATTTCATATGTCTTATGAACTTATTCTATATCAATTAAATTAAATTATATTCATGAAAGTCAGTGTATTCCCTTACTAAGTTATTTTAAAATAAAATAAAATACAAAACCTAGAATTTTATCATAAAAATAGCATATTTTTAAATACGGAAGTCATTTTCACCAAGAAGAAAATGTATATTTCAATTTTTTTTCATAGAAACGTATTTAATTTAAGCTTTAATTTAAGATTAAACAAAACTGTCAATATTTCTGGAACATTTTCAAAAGTTAGGTTGAAAAAGTTAGTTTCAGTAAAAAAGTTTCTATTTTGAATCCCCCCTATAAGTAGAATAAGTGTTAGATGATCAAAAAATATGATATCTAATGAAACGAAATTACCTAAGGTTTCAATATAATAAAATATTATTTTGTTTTTGTGAATATTTCAATAAGTTATGGTAGTTTTAAATACAAAAAACATCACAAAAGAATCTGATTTTTTTTGCAAATATTACATTTTTGGTTTAATTTCAGTGGTAATTTACTCATAGACGATAAGATGTCAGGACAAATTTTTTTTTCATTTTATAACACTTGACATAACCTTTGATTTGATATATGTTTAAAGAACACAGTATTTTCGGAACATTTTCAAAAGTTAAGTTGAAAATACTTAATACTTAATTACATAATATAATTTTTTTATACAATGTTTCCAGTTTTGAGCGCCCTCTTTATAAGGTATAACAATCCAATTTTAATAAAATGTATGTCAAATGAAAGATGTATTTATTATGTATTTAGAAAAAAAAATTTGTGCTGATAAATACATTTTTTGAAAAGTTATACCATTTTAAAGTTGAAAATTTTAACACAAAAATATCATTTTTTTAATTACGGCAGCCATTTGCATACAGAAGATAAAATGTCGGGACCCATTTTTTTTTAATTTTATAGTACATAAAATAAGCTTTCATGTCGAGAACGTTTAAAGGACGCAGTATTCCCGGAACATTTTCAAAATCTAAGATGAAAAATTTAGTTTTCTAAAAAAATTGCTATTTTAAATCCACCCTGAGAGTATAATAAGTGTTAGATTATCAAAAAATATGTTATCAAATGAAAACAAATTACCTAAGGTTTCAATATAATAAAAATTTATATGAGGAACGAAAGAAAATTTTTCAATTTTTAAGGGTAATGTCTTCAACTATATACGATTTGTGATCTTCTGACCTATTGTAGAAAGAAATCAGTTCAGTGAGAGCTGAGAAAAAGTGGCAACAGACACAAAAAAATAATAATAAACAAATTGTGGTAAAATTAATACTTTTCAACTTTGCATCGTAGCTAAAATAATATAAATAAAATTAATATTTTCTCGGCTTGCTATCGAAGTTAAAATAAATATCCTAATCTATGTATTAATTTCAAACATATTTTGGAAAAATTAAATAAAATATTTTTTTCCCTAAATTTTCAAGCATTTAATCATTGTAAATTTATAAAATTATAATAATATAGAATTCGATAAAATAAATTAGATAATATAATTATCATGTAAACAAATTGTGAGCTATTTTGGTAAGCAATAAAATTTTTCTGTAAAATAACAAGTCACGATTGGTTAAATTTAAAAATAAAATTCCAAAACCACTATAAAGAACAAACTTTTGAAGGTTTATAACACGTATTTGATTAAACCAAAATATTACATTTTTTTTCAATACTAATTAAATAAAATATGAAAGTATTAATATTCACTATATTATATTTTGCATGTTTTCAGTTAACTTTACAATTAATATGTGACCCAAAAACTTTTGTGAAGACGATTACTCAAAAACCTCGTTGGGAATCATTTAGTAACATAAAAGTAATGTTTCAAGAGAATCAAAGTAAAAATTTATGTTATCATCATACTGAGTTCATCAAAAATCCAACTTCGTACCAAGATTATATAAATTTACGGGTAAAAATTACAGCACAGCACGTTTGTTCAATAATTAGTTGTAAATACACTTATGTATTACTTACGTATGTGACTTTGATTGAACATTTAGCTAATGAATATAAAATTTTATTAAATAATGATAATAGAAATATCGATTTCAAGTCACTATATAATATCATAAAGAATATTGAAAGAGACACAGAATTTATTAAAGAAGGGATCGACTTTGGATATTTATTAAAAAATAAATATTTCACTGAATCATTTCTTACTACACCTTTAAAAAACTTGTACAGAAATTTTAATGAAATAGATATATCAATTAACGAGAAAAGTTTATTGTTGTTCATGAAACATGAAAACATAATTAATCTAATGATAGAGTCTCTTAAAACCTTCAAAGAAGAAATATATGAAAATGTAATTGGAAAATTTTGTGACAATCAAGATCCTCCAGTGCCAAATTTAGAATCGTTAAGAAATGAACATGCAAATAGAGTACACACTGAAACTTTTGAATCTTTTCTTACAAGAAAAACATTACATTATCCCTTTGACAGCCAAGTAAAATATTTTTCACAACTAGGGTTTTCTTTAGGAAGTAAACGCCTCGATATAATAGCGGCAGAACTTCCCATTAGGTTAAGTATAAATTAATTTTATAAAATCGTAAGTTATCAAACTATTTCGTTTTGTTATTATTTTTTTTTTAATATGTAAAGAAAAATTTTAGTTTCACTTAAATTTTATTTTTATTGTTTTTTAAGACCAAAAAAGGCCATAGCTGCCTCCCCAAAAAAAGGGAGTTTTTCTAACCATTGATACTGGGAGACTGGTGGCTATTCCGTCATACATTAAGTCAAGCATCTCAATAATTCAAAAAATAGTATTTAGGCGAATAATATTGAAAATTGTTAGAATATGCGTTATTGATTTAATTAAATAGAAGTTATTCATTTATAAATTGAAAATATGATTTAACATTTAGTAATTACAATTAATTTTTTGTTTATTTATGTCTATTTTGCTTAGGTATATTATTCATGTATTCATTTATAAATTGAAGTTATGTTTTTAAATTTAGTAATTATAAATAATTTTATGTCTATTTTACTTTGGTAAATTATTCATGTATAAATAAAATGTGTCAAAAATGTAAATTACGCAAACTAAATTACTAGAATAGATATGATGACATATTATTAACTTTTATATAACCAAGTA